TTTTCGATAACAAGTTATTTAATACCTTCAAATCTACTAATTAAAGAATTTAACTGGTCCTAAATTGAGCTAGAAAACCAAACTTTCTATAAAGGTTTATTTACAATATCTATTTATCGTTTGTGTGCCACAACGTAAAACCCTTTTCAATAATAACAGTGAAGTTTTATTTCCATGCATAAGCATTGAAATAGTTTTATTTTAAAAAAATCTACAAAAGTACCATTACAAATTCATATGTAATTTAACAATATTTATAGCCAAAAACATGATGTTGAAGAAAAATCTTCCTGCTCAAAAAGCCAAATTGGTGCTTAATAACATTTTATTTTAGAACCTTTCATTATTAAAAAACCTTCCATAAACACAATCAAATTAATCATGAAAAGTATAATTTTATTGAAGAAGAGATTATTTTAGCAGAAATACCTCATTTATTCATAAAAACTAATTTAACAAAAAAGCACTGTAATTAAAAATCCTCGTTCTAGGCAAAATGCGATCGCTTGTTTTTTATTACACTATGTTTGACAACAGCGCAAACTTTGAACGCCATCAGTAAACACTTTATGAACAATTATAAATATCGTAATTTTTGTGTGCTATTAACCACACTCACCGCCAACTTGTAAAACGCATTTACCAATCAGAGAGTTACCAATAGTAATGGCGGCAATTAGGCGCTGAAAATTAATTCATTTAAAGGTAATACATCAGCACATTCCACAATTCAAAACTCGTTTCATACACCTGAAACACAGTCCAACAATGAGAAGTTATTCTAAATTGCAACTGCGTGTCGCGACTTTGCATTGTATTGCAGTGTTGCTAATTCTGAAAGATTCTAGAAAAAGATGCGGAAAATTCGAAAATTTGCAAAATGATTCTAAAACCTAATCTTAAAAAAGTAGTGTTTTTTTTAACAACGCGTTTTTAGTACAGCCTTCAATTTCAGAAAAAAGATCTATATATATACTTTTGTGATGCTACATGTTCTGGAGTTTTGTAAAATACAAAAGAGTTACCGAACAAAGGGACCAGCACCATTATCTTGACGCCTCTTTGCTACATCCGAGCGAAAAAAATTGCAACCGTTTAAAATAGTTGTTAAAATTGTCTCTTTCACACAAAACACATATATTTCGAAAAAATGTTTGTACGATTGGTGCCGCCAATTACACAATAAATACCATTTTCAAAACATTCAGCATGATCTTATTCAGAATATTATTTTTGATGATCGGATTTCATTAAAGAAACTAGTACTACAAATCACATTGCTTATCTCCTTGTTGCAGACAGCTACGTAATTTGAAGTATTTTATTTGCACTTCCACCATTTAGCTATCACTTAAGAGCTAGAGCAACGCCAAGTTGCGGCAGCGCAGCGTTGCCATATCTTTCGGTGCAATTGCTAGCGCGAATAATATAAATTCGTGAAAAAAACAATATTTTCACCTGCATTCAGATTTCAACTTGGTTTATGCGTTAACTTAATAGTACCCCATACACAGTTAATAAATAAATTTTAATACTAATAAACTAATTAAATATTAACTAATATTTCTACGATTTGTATATTACTGTTAATTTATTACCTGCCTTTTAATTTATATATCGACACCGCCATCGGAATCGAACAACAAAAATTTATGTTCTCTTAAACCATTGTTCTTAAAAACAGTACACTTTTAAAATTTAACCTTAGCCAGCTGGTAAAGGATGCTAAAGAGTATGTCGCAGGTCTCATGTTCGTTAAAATGCCTGATTTTTCGAAATAAAAAAAATAGTTTGCCTTTCATAAAGTACAGGTTGGTAAAGATAACGTTTTTCCTTAATACAATGTGTTCATCAAAAAACAGATCATAATAAGTCAGTAAATGAATGTGTTAAAAAAGTACTGTTTGAGTATATTGGCGCAAATGTAATCGTCGCTCTGAATTTAACTGTGCTTTGTGAATCGAATTCTAGGCATTGGATGTTTCATAAGTTACAATTTGATATTATTTCATATTTCATTGTTTCGTTTCGTACATTAGAAGCTCTTGTATACATACAAATTAATATTTTAGACATTTCTTTAAACGCTAATTAAATATTATGAAAAAAATTTGCTGCATCCTTCTTTGGAATATCAGATTGGAATTCAACAATGAACTTGGGAGTTAATTCTGGTGAATTACATCTAATTGGTTGGGATATGATTTTATCTTATTGAAAATAATGTTTAAAATTTCATGTGAATTCATTGACAATCGCTTGAAAAATATGTGTTTTGACAGCCAAATGTTTTTTACGATTATTACACTGATACTGAGGTGTGTTAATTCGGAGAGAAATTGTGGTATATCTATTACTATAGGGCGAGAAGAGTTACGCTTACGTGATGTTTTAGCACCACTAGTTTTATGGAGTATTAAACGTATATTTGATATGAAATTTGCAATAAAATGACATTTGCATAATAATATGGATTAGGAGAATAATCCACTAGAATCATTTCAACATTTATAAACAATTAATTAACTGAATTTTTCAGCTGAGCTTGTGATGCGCAGGAAGTTAAAATAAGCACAGGCAGCGATGTCACGAATGAAGCTCTCGCAGTGAGGATCCTAATTTTCTCCCTGGTTACTACAAAGTTGGGACTGGCCTTGTGCAAAAGATATGACAAAGCCATAAGTGTGGCTTTGGAACAGTAGTAACCCAATTTTGAATTTCGAACAGTTGACTTAGGAAGGTGGATTTCTAGCGAGTTTTTCAGTCTGAATGTAATGTGCAAGAAGAAATATACTATTATTTTTTGCACATAATACAATAGTTTTTTGTCACCTGACTTACTGCAATTAAAACATTACGATAGTAGCTCAAAGTGATGAATCATGCCAAAGAAATGATCACCCAAACAGTACATTTATCATGTTCAGTTCTAAATATACTTTTAAGAAGATTAAATGCATTATTATTATCAAGTTTGTATTCATCACCCACATACAAGGCATCCACAATCTTCTAAGTTACAAATAGCCAAAAAAACGCATCTTGTTCATTCCTTTTTGTCCATGACACTCGTTGCGTGAACGAGTGAAGAAGCATAATGCCGAATTGAATGTCGATGATTTCGCAAACAAATATAGCTTAAAGTAAATAACCAATGAACTATTTTCGAACAATATATGTAAGTATTTGATAAGTATAGCACTCTGGGCATAGCAGAAGAAATTATTAGGTTAAGTTGCAACTACCAGAGTTTTTCTTTCTAATGTATAATTATATAATAGACTCCATAATGTTTCTGGTATTAGAATCAAATAATATTTTCAGCTGAATGGTGCTGTAAGTGACATGTAAGATTCATGTGTCATAAGAAAATTGGAAATATTATATATCTTTTATATAAAAAGTTTAAGCATTAAGTATTTTTGTAATAGCTTTAGTTTGTTTAATACAATACCAGGTTTAATCCAAATTATTGTCATGTTTGTGTGATATGTGAATAAATATTTCCTTTACTGGTTTACAAGTCATTAATGGCAAATAAACTTATACATAGTTATACTAGTTAATAATTTACTTTTAAAGTTCTCTTGGAGAGACATTTAGCTCCAAGAGAAGAGATTCGGAAAATGCTGTAAATGAAGATCACTTTACTTCGTGCATTACGTCTCACTGAATACTAAGAATTTGTCTAGTTGTTTTTGTCAAATCTCCTGCATTTGTAGTATTTAAAGTGACAGTCTATTTGCATAAAATCATAAATTAGACACCTAAAATTATTAATTGTATTCCTAGCAAAGGAAAATAATATTTACTCCAGCAAACACTACGCCGAGAACGAACTCCGGGCAAACCACTAATCAATTCTCGCCTACTCACTTACTTTAGTACCCCTTTTCTAACACGTTCACAAAAATTTGTTTTGCTAAATGAAGTTTGATTCTCTTAATAAATTTATGTATGTGTTTAGCAAAAAAGCGTATGCAGCTCTTTTATTGTTGCTTTATTGCTTCGTACAAATTCGGAAAAACACGGCTCCAATGTCGGCTCTTTTCAAACAGTATTCATGCCAATAAAGCTTAACACTTATTAAACTAATTGCATAATTACTAATATAAAATATAGATATAACGAAGCTAACGAGAATTAAGTGTAAATAGATATAAAACATCTAATTTACAGATCACTACAAAAAGCTTTCAGTATATAATATAATTTACTAAAGTGACCTCAGGGAACTGTAAAGGAAGGAAAGGAGGTCAAAAAGCTTAAGATAAAAATGTACTCTGACACCGTTTTAACATTCAAAATCACAGATAATCTGACTTCCAAAGCCAAACACAATATATGGACATACAAAATAACCAATCTAATGAATGCCGCAATGTCAAAATATGCACCTTAATACAAAAAAGAAATATTTTGAGCGATTGATTGTTCAAAATTAAATTAAAACTCCCCTAGATTTTCAAAAAACATAAAAACCTACGCTATCTTACACAAAAACGTTTTCTATTACGATTTCATCAGTTAATGTCAGTAAAAAAATAAAAAAAAATTATTTATATAAGCCACAATGGAAAAAAATACTTTGACCATTCGTATAAAGATAGTTTTATGACAAAAACTTTTCTGTTAATTTTAATTAATTTTATTTAAATAAAAATCTTCCTTGTTCTTTTTTTTTTTGGTGTCCTTTCTCTCGTTTCACAGCCTCTCTCTCTTTCTCCCTTAATCATGAATATTAGTAAGGAAAGGAAGTGGATTGTTAAGTGCGTAGACTAATATCATTTAAAACTTTAATAAGAAAACATATAATAGGTTATGAATATTTGAGATTAGTTTTACATACATCAGCCAACAAAACTAAATTTTAAAATTTAGTTAACTGAACTATAAATTATTGGTTGTTATAATAAGATTGATTACCAATATCATTTATTTACTGTTAATAATGTAACAACGTATGCTGCCTACATCAACATAATATGGTTATTTTTCAGCCCCTGAAGCACCTACTTCACTGAAAATTACAAGAGGTACAAGTACATCCCTTGAAATGGAATGGGGATTGCCAAACATGTTTAATGGAGAGCTCCGCTCATTTCTTGTAAATGTTGAACACATAGAATCTTTGAATGAATCAGAATGTTGTGAATATTTTCCAGTTCAAGAATTACCTGTTAGAGAAGAAACACCCATTTACAATCTAGAGGTTATTTTCAGATTTCTACATATGTAAATTGCATTTAATACTTCAGTTTGTAACCTCTTTTGTTCATATTAAATAATACTTTTAAAATTGTGTATACCTAAGAAAAATTGAATTATGAACAAAATGTATATAATTCACCCTGATTGTTTGGTTTGGGCTTTACAGGTTACTGGTTTAAATCCGGCATCAACTTATGTAGTCAGTGTAACTGCAAAAACAATCACACTAGGACCAAGTATCAATGCAACCTACTTCACTTCTCCATTGCCCCCAACCAATCTCCGATCTCCACAGGCTCTGGGTGTAGCAGATGACGGTGATTCTTATCTTTTGAAAATTCAACCAACTAACATTACTTCAACTCCTAACAGGTAAAGGTCCCTAAATTCACTTCATGAATATAAACAATCAAAATATTTGTGGATACGATATTAACTTTAGTTAATGACAATAATGTTTGTTTTTCAGCAAATATCTTTTACTAGTATTGCCTTCTAGCAAATTTCCTCCACCAGTCATCTGGGAAAGAGAATTATTAGAGAAACTAACTGAAGCAGTTAATGCAAGTTTCTACATTGTTTCAGAGTTTACAAGCGTGAGTATACATTTTTTTGTTTTTGCAAGTGCAGAGCCAAAAATTAAAACTAGTGATTTTACAGGTGCACATACTGTCTGGCATTACTTCTAACTGTTCGTTTTATTACACTACTACATAAACATGCAAGTTTTTTCACTTTTTTTCCTCTCAGACACCCGAACGCAGATCCTCAGAGTTAACTCGCCGTCACGCATACCTCTATACTACAGAAGAGCCATATGGCTCCAACTCGGGACGAGACGCTTAAAACGTGAAGTATCCCTTCATGAAAAGTATCACAGAAATTAAAATATCCGTTTTAAACTCTGAAAGTCTCGAGTTCATTCAGACCGATCAAAAAAATTGACTGTACGGTTTAGGTGCTAGCGTTGATCACAGACGGACAGACATATTTTCTCACTCAATCAATTTTTCAGTAATAAGGATCCACAAAACTTGGATTCTAGCTACACCACATATCAGACGATTTTTTCTATGTTTAGCAACTGGCATTATCATCTTTTTTCGTTACCACGGCCTAGCAATACGAGTTTTCCTGCCAAAAATTCGCCGTTTTCCTGCGCACGGTTACACATATGATGTATCTTCGTCAGGACGAAAAAGTAAAAAGTTGCCACACAAAATACTAAGTTCTATTTATTAAAATAAGATTTAAAAATACAAGTGAAGAATAAATGAAGGATTTTAAAGTAGAAATTACAATTTTTGGGGATATTTTTTTGCGTGTGAGATACATGCGAGGAGAAAACGTTTAACAAATTACACAAACATGAATAAATTTAACTGTTACAGTGTTTGTTACACCTAATACAGAAAAGCAGAAAAAATCACACAAGCTTGTCTTGATAATATTGAAGTGAGCTTTCAGTTTTTGAATACCGTAATTAGCTATAAGAACGTCTTTACGTAAAAGAAGTGTGAATTTCTAAGGTAATCTATTACCTTCCTTAAATATATTTCCTTTCATAAGAATATTATCTATATCATAAGATCAGCATCACTGGCAAAAACGGGATGCATTTTTTATTGAATATTCACGTGTGTTAGTATATGAGACTTTTGGCCGAAGTTAAAGAAATACAAAATTTATTTGAGAGTTGAAGGAGAAACAAAATTTAGATAATGCATGATATGAAATACAAATTGAATATATTTGCTGTAGGGGAGCTTTATTGTTTATGAAAAGGGTTAAGGAAAATGAAAGAAATATTTTGGAAGTTTTCGTTTGATTTTGTTCCGGTAAGGATTATGCTTTTCTAGCGCTGGAAACGGAATGTAGATGAATGGTACATACGAGATGAATTTGAAGAATTTTGAAACCACAACCTTGGCATTCAAACGAAGCGCAGGAAGTTCGAATTTACAATTTCCTTTTTTTTGCAATTTTCGAAAATACGATTTCACAGAGTTCACCGAAAATGGGTCCATCACAATTTCTTTTGTGTTCTTTGAAACGTACGGGGGGAAATTTCCAAGAAGAAATTTGGATGGGTATTTGAGAAAATACTAGTTGAAATTGTTTCAAAAATGCCTCTCTTCAACGCAAAATAACTCAAAAACCTCTTAACCGCTTCGCCATATTTTCGAAAAATTAAACGTGCCAGTATTAAATGATGAACGTATTTCATTAGGAAACTAGTGGTGCTAAAACAGCTCGTACTTTCTCGCCATTACTAATATTTATGAAATACTCTTTATACCATCATTTCCCTCCGAATTATTTTTTTGGAAAACTTCTTTGAAATCGTAGAACATTTGGTGCGAAAAATATGCGAGAAAGTAAAATAATTAAAGGTTAATAAATAATACGATACTGATAGCGTTGGCAAACAAACAGATCGAAAATATATAATAGTAATTGTTATTTATTTACGTCAAAACAGTTAAAAACTATGTTAAACACTATGGTATTGTAAAATTCTACAAATATATAAGTGGGTTTTTATTTCTCGGCGCGTGCGGGCCTGTCTTCACGATGGAATATCTCACTGCATTTCCCGTCTTTCTCGGTTGTACCGCTCGATCTGTGTTCACAAAATTTCGCAAATAAATCATGTTGTCAAAAAATTGAATTTAATATAATTTTTAGATCTAATTTTCATGACTACATTTCATTAAGAAAAAATGTTTATCTTTATAATTGCAGTTGTAAGAAGAGGTCGAAAAAAATTGAATTTTTTTGGATTTTAGAGAAATAATGGTTTTATACCAACATGAGACATGAACCACTTTTACACGTCATTTACACTATCCAAAAACAAAATTTAATAAAAAACGATGATGCCATTGTTTTGAAATTTTTGAAAATGTCTCAGGGACTTCATGTAAAGTACCCCCTATAATTAAAATATCGGTTTCAAATTCAAAGAGCCGTGACATCAGCCAGATCGATCGGAGAATATCAATTTTGAAGAAATTCGGCTAAACGGTTTACCCGCAAGCGTTGTTCACACAGACTGACAGATGTTTTGCCGTCAATCGATTTTTCGGTATCAAGGAACAACAAACCTGGATTCTGGCTACACCACGAGTTGGAGGTTTTTTTTCTTTCTAACTTTAGCAACTGTATTTATCAACTTTTTCGTTACCAGAACCCTGTAATAAGAGATTTTCTGTCGAAAGTTAGTCGGTTTTTTTTGCGCAGCATTACATAACTTTCTCTCGGTTGGGAAAGTGGTAACGATAAGGTAAAACGGTAACTTTAACATTGAAAATAAGAAACGTTTTTCATTTTTCGATTAACAAGTTATTTAATACCTTCAAATCTACTAATTAAAGAAGTTTATACTGGGTCTAAAATTAGAGCTAGAAAACCAACCTTTCTATAAGGGTTTATTACAATATCTATTTTATCGTTTGTGTAGCACAACGTAACCCTTTTCAATTAATAAACAGTGAAGGTAAGTTTTATTTTCCATGCATAAGCATTGAAATAGTTTTATTTTAAAAAATCTAAATAAGACCATTACAAAATCATATGTAATTAAAAAATATTATAATCAAAAACATGATGTGAAGAAAAATCTTCCTCTCAAAAAGCCAAATTGGTGCTAAAACATTTATTTTAGACCTTTCATATTAAAAACCTTCAACACAATCAAATTAATCATGAAAAGTTATTTTATTGAAGAGAGATTATTTTAGCAGAATACCTTCATTTATGCAAAAACTTAATTTTAACAAAAAAGCACTTAAATTAAAAATCCTCGTTCTAGCAAAATGCGATCGCTTGTTTTTTTATTACACTAATGGTTTTACAACAGCGCATACTTTGACGCATCAGTAACACTTATGAACAATTATAATATCGTAATTTTTGTCTGTATTAACACACCTCAGCCAGCACTTGTAAAACGCATTACCAATAGTAACGCATTAGGCGCGAAAATTTAATTCATTTAAAGGTAATACATCAGCACATTCCACAATTCAAAACTCCGTTCCATACACCTAGAAACACAGTCCAACAATGAGAAGTTATTCTGAGAATTGCAAACTGCCGTGTCGCGACATTTGCATTGTATTGCAGTGTGCTAATTCCTGAAAGATTCTAGAAAAAGAAATGCGGAAAATTCGAAAATTTGCAAAATGATTGTAAACTAATCAAATTAAAAAAGTACGTGTTGTTTTTAAACAACACCGTTTTTAGTACAGCCTTCATTTAGAAAAAATATCTATATATATACTTTTGTGATGCTACATGTTTTGGAGTTTTGTAAAATACAAAGAGTTTACCGAAAAAGGGACCAGCACCATTATCTTGACCGCTCTTTGCTACATCCGAGAAAAAAATTGCAGCCGTTTAGAAGAAAATAGTTGTTTAAAAATTGTCTTTTCACACAAAACTACATATATTTTCGAAAAATGTTTGTACGATTGTCTGTCGCCAAATTACACAAAAATACATTTTCAAAACATTCAGCATGATCTTATTCGAATATCTATTTTTGATGATCGGATTTCATTAAGAAACTAGTGATACAACATCACATGCTTTATCTCCTTGTTGCAGACAGCTACGTAATATTGAAATATTGTATTTTCTGCACTTCCACCATTTCAGCTATCACTTAAGAAGCTAGCAACGCAGAGTTGCCAGCGCAGCGTTGCCATATCTTTGTGCAATTGCTAGGCGAATAATATAAATTCGTGAAAAAAAAAATATTTTCACCTGCATTCAGATTTCAACTTGTTTATCGGTTACTTATAGTACCCCATACACAGTTAATAAATAAATTTAATACTAATAAACTAATTAAATTACTAATATTCTACGATTTGTATTATTATGTTAATTTATTACCGCCTTTTAATTTATATATCGACACCGCCTCGACCGAATCGAACAAAAAAATTATTTTCTTTAAACCATTTTTTCTTAAAAACAGTACATTTTAAATTTAGACCTTAGACAGCGTAAAGGATGCTAAAGAGTATGACGCAGGTCTCATGTTCGTTAAAATGCCTGATTTTTCGAAATTAAAAAAAAAATAGTTACTTTCATACAAGTACAGTTGTAAAGATACTGTTTTCCTTAATACAATGTGTTCCTCAAAAACAGATCATCAAATAAGGTCATGATGAATGTTTTGAAAAAGTATTTTTGAGTAATTTGGCGGCAAATATAATCGTCCGCTCTGAATTTACTGTGCTTTGTGAACGTAATTCTAGGCATTGGATGTTTCATAAGTTAAAATTTGTATATTTTTTTGATATTTCATTGTTCGTTTCGTACATTAGAGCTCTTGTTATACATTTACAAATTAATATTTTAGAATTTCTTTAAAACCTAATTAAAATATATGAAATAAAATTTGCCATCCTTCTTGGAATATCAGATTGGAATTCAACAATGACTTGGGAGTTAAATTCTGTGAATTACATCTTATTGTTGGGATATGATTTATCTTTATGAAAATAAGTTAAAATTATGGAATTTTCATTGACATCTGCTTGAAAATATGTAGTTTTTGCACCAAATGTTTTACGAGTTTTACACTGATGACTGAGGTGTGTTAATTCGGAGAGAAATTGTGGTATAACTATTACTATAGGCGAGAAAGTACCTACGTGATGTTTTAGCACCACTAGTTTTATGGAAGTATTAACGTATATTGTGATATGAAATTGCAATAAAATGACATTTGCATAATAATATGGATTAGGAGGATAATCCACTTAGAATCATTTCTAAACATTTGATAACAATTATTAACTGACATTTTCAGGCTGAGCTTGTGAGTGCGCAGGAAGTTAAAATAAGCACAGGCAGCGATGTCACGAATGGAACTCTCGGCCAGCTGATGGATCCTAAATTTTCTCCTGGTTACTACAAAGTGGGACTGGCTCTTGTGCAAAGATATGGACAAGCCATAAGTGTGGCTTTGGCAACAAGTAACCAATTTGAATTTCGAACAGTTGACTTAGGAAGAGTGATTTCTTAGGCGAGGTTTCTTCATGTCTGAATGTAATGTGCAAGAAGAAATATACTATTATTTTTTGGCATATAATACATAGTTTTTGTCACCTGACTTAATGCAAATTAAAACATACGATAGTATGCTCAAAGTGATGAATACATGCCAAAAAATGATCCCACCCACAACAGTACATTTATCCATGTTCAGTTCTAAATATACTTTTAAGAAGATTAAGATGCATTTATTCAAATCAGTTGTATTCATCACCACATACAGCATCCACAATCTTCTAATGTTACAAATAGCAAAAAACTGCATCTTGTTCATTCCTTTTTGGGTCCATGGACACTCGTGCGTGACGAGTGAAGGAAGCATAAGCCGAACTTGAATTCGATGATTTGCAAACAATATAGCTTAAAGTAAATACAATGAACCTATTTTCGAACAATATATGTAGTATTTGAAGCATAAGTAGCACTCTGGCATAGCAGAAGAAATATTAGGGTTAAGTGCAACTACCAGAGTTTTTCTTTCTAATTATAATTATATTAATAAGAATCCATAATGTTTCTGTATTAGAATCAAAATATATTTTCCAGCTGAATGTGCTGTAAGTGACATGTAAGATTCATGTGTCATAAGAAAATTGGAAATATTATATAGCTTTTATATAAAAAGTTTTAGCATTAAGTATTTTTGTAAATAGCTTTAGTTTTGTTTAATACAATACCAGGTTTAAATCAAATTAATTGTCATGGTTTTGTGATATGTGAAATAAATATTTCTTTACTGATTTACAAGTCATTTAATGGCAAATAAACTTATACATAGTTAATACTAGTTAATAATTTACTTTCAAAGTTCTCTTGGAGAGACATTTAGGCCTCCAAGAGAAGACGATTCGAAGAATTGTGTGAAATGAAGATCACCTTTACTTGTGCATTACAGTCTCACTGAATACTAAGAATGTTCTCAGTTGTTTTTTGTCAAACTCCCTTCATTTGTAGTATTTAAGTTGAACAGTTCATTGCATGAAAATCATAAATTAGACACCTAAAATTAATTAATTGTATTCCTAGCAAAGAAAAAATAATATTTCTCCAGCAAACACTACGCGAGAACGAACTCCGGCAACCAACTACATCAATTCTCGGCCTACTCACTTTACTTTAGTACCCCCTTTCCTAACCACGTCACAAGAAATTTGTTTTGCTAAATGAAGTTTGATTCTCTTATAAATTTGTAATGATGTTGTACAAAAAAAGCGTATGCAGCTCGTTTATATTGTTGCTTTATTGCATTCGTACAAATTGGAAAAACACGCTCCTAATGTCGCTCTTTTCAAAACACGTATTCATGCAATAAAGCTTAACATTATTAACTAATTGCATAATCTACTAATATGAAATTAGATTATACGAAAGCTTAAACGAGAATTAAGTGTAAATAAATATAAACATCTATATTACAGATACTACAAAAAGCGTTTCAGTATATAATATAATTTACTAAAGATGACCTCAGGGAACTGTAAAGGAAGGAAAGGAGGTCAAAAAGCAAGAATAATAAATGTACTCTGACACGGTTTTAACATTCAAAATCACAGAATAATCTGACTCAAACCAAACACAGATATATGACATACAAAATAACCAATCTAATGAATGCGCAATGTCAAAATATGCACCTAATACAAAAAAAAAAAATATTTGAGCGATGATTTGTCAAAATTAAATTAAACTCCTCTAGATTTTTCAAAACATAACCTACGCTATCTACACAAACGTTTTCTATACGATTCATCAGTTATAGTCCAGTAAAAAAATAAAATATTATATAGCACAATGGAAAATACTTTTGACATTCGTATAAAGATAGTTCTTATACAACTTTCTGTTATATAATTATTTAAATATTCCGTGTCCTTTTATTAATTTGTCTTTTCATCGATTTTATCCCCAAGTTTAAGTACAATAATCGAATAAAGTTTAAATATAAATTACAACATTATGAGCTTAATGAATAAAATTATATACAGGCTTGCTTCTCAGGCAACATTTTTTACAATTGCCTCTTCTTTTCTCTCTCTCTTTCAAACATTTTTAGTGCCATGAAACAAAATTATTATTTCTATTTCGGAGTTCTCGTCCCTCCTCCCTGCTTCTACTCCGCGCATTATTATATTATTATTATTATTATTATTATTATTATTATTACAAACAAAAAGTTTTAAGAAAGTACAAAGATAGCGTTATTATCTGCATTTTTATTTTCATATTATTAACAACAACAACAACAATAATAATAATAATAATAATAATAATAATAATAATAATAAAATGAACGTTGCGCCTTTCCACAAATTTCCAGGGGCGATTGGTGCTTGTGTTGTGTATTCGTCAACCAACACGTGCTACATTTTAAATGTTGAATACCTAAAAAACAATTCTTCTTTAGAACATAAATTACTCTACATGAAGCAGAATTCTTGTGCGACTTCACTCGTTGACCCTTGGGATTTTTCCAATATGTAGATGGAAATCGATGCAATTGCTGTTAACTGGAGATGTAAAATTCAACGACAATACAGGTCACAGACGTGTCTTGTATAAGCGACCGTCCTCACCAGACATATCAACAGAATCAGCTTATTCTTGCGTCCGAGCAGAAGCCCCTTCATTCTCGTCGTGAAGGAAAGAGATGGGTGATCTAATGCGTAACGTTCAGCCAATGAGCGTCCAGCACCAGTTTGCGTCACAATATTAGCGGGAATTTTAAATGCAGTCAGATACTAATAATCTTACATGTCATTGAAACAGATATATGAAGCGTTGCAACTTGCACAGTTTCATCGAGTTATTTTTGGTTGGCCACTGTTGAAACTGGTCGCTTTATGCCACTTTCAAAATGTGTCTCAGCACTTCTGGCTTTCCATGCAACACACCGACCAGCAGAGAGTATATATCACTTGGAAAAGAACACAGCCTTTTCCGCATCTCTCCTTTGGCTATTGTTAGAATTGGGAATCCAACAACGCCTATATTTTGAAATTTTTCTTCAAAATTACCAAACAACCAAAATAATCAACCACTCTCAGGCAAAAGTGCAGCGAAAGCGAACATCACCAAGAGAGACTGTTGAATAACGAACGAAATCAAAGTTTCAATGTCTTTAAAATTAGTTCGCAAAAGCCCCTGAACAGCGCTACTTACCAGGGTGGGCGATAATGGCGGACCTACCTCCCCTCTTTCCGTCTCCCCCGCCACTCTCTGGTCCCCTCACCAATACTTGAAAATAAGGACATTTTCCCACCTATTAAGTGACACCCCCTTCTGCTCTAGCTTTTCAAACGAAGTGCCCGTGTTGTGGTCACGTGATTCATGACGCAAACTGGTGCTGCGCAGAGCGAGCGAAAATCGGCGCGCCAGAGTAGCTCTCACATTTCTTTCCCGCGTGATCCGCGTCGTAGCTTGCGATGTATTTGTCAATGTATAGTCGTGTTTTTCCGCCATGCGTCGTAGCTTTCGATGTATCGACTTTTCTACTCCCCGAGTCATAGACGAATTTGCTGTGTTCTGCGCTAGGTAGTCGGGGGCGAGCCATATTACTATAAACTCTTTTTACCATGCCATAAACTAGCTGAATGTGGCGTCACCGACGCATTAAACGGTTTTAAAAGTATTTACATGTGTAGGGGAAGTTCTAAATTTGATCAAACAAATTGTTACAGTTACTAGCATTGGATTTATTAAATAATCATAGTAGCTAATACTATTACTATTTCGTTCAAAAATTTCCAACTCCCAATGACCTTGCAAGTTGGATCCATATGGGATATGAATTGGTATTTTTTAATCTCAAAATTGTAATCGCCATAAAAAGAATACTTGCAGGTATGGCTGATACGAATAGTTTGAAATTAGTACAACTATATTTTTTACGCTTTTTTGTTAATGTGCACTAAAATGCACATAAAAGATCAGTTGTTCTTCAGATATACTTAAAAGTACATTTGCATAATTATTAAAAAAATAAAAATTCTACGTCGAAATGTAGTTTTTCAGTTCAATTATAGTGCCGCGATAAGGTCGTTCACCGGGCAAAGGATGACGTAGAAAATTTTGTATTTTTTTTATAGAAGTATTAGAAAAACATCTCCTATTTCCCACCTGGAAATACTCCGAGAAAAGTTTTGGTGGCCGAAAAGCAAACGAAATTTGGGGAATTTTTGTATCTTGTATAACTTCTTAATGGTCGATCTTAGTGCAATTACGGTTATGTAGTACAACTTTAAAGGTCATAAAATTCTATGCTTGAAAAATATTGTTAATGTGTTCTAACAGTATGTTATTAATGTTAATGTTAAGTATGTTAATATTGTTAATGTACAGCATGTTAATATGTTCTAACAGTATTTGGAATTAACATTCCGAAGGTCAAAAAAAAATTGATTAAATGCTATTACTATCTTTATAAGTATTTTGTAGACTTATACTATCTTTAGAAATGTTTTCACTCTATTCTTACAAGGAAATTAAACGAAAAATTGCGATCCACTTTTCAAAAAATATTGAAAGTGTTTCAAGTACTTCATGAGAAAATACCCCCCAAAATACAAAGATATCTTTTCAAATTGGCAGAACCTCGACTCGGGCCAGATCTATGGAAAAATATTCATTTAGAAAAAATCTTACAAATAGTTTGGGTGCTGGTGTTTAGAAATGAACTGACGGACGTTTTGAAAAAAAAATCTCATTTTCAGTAATGCTTTTATATATTTTTGGTATCATCAACGTGTAATTCGATTCAAATATCGAAATCGATTTTTGACAGCATTACAAAACTTATTTCATTCTCTGTTTATACGTACGTATGCGAGAAAGAAAGACGACATCGCACATGTGTCTCTGAGACTAAATGTCTCTGAGACTAAGAGTTAGGGAGTAATTAAGGCGATGATACAGACCTATTGGTTACGGTTGAACTTTTTTTCTGGTATCCATATGTTTTGTTGTATTTTTCAAGACGTTTAGTGACAAAAGTGAAAGAAAGTTGTTGAGTGGCTTGAAAATATGATTTACCAAGTATGTCCATCGAAGGTCACGGCAACTTCATAATGCATTATCGTTGCTCTCCTGACCTTTGCCCTAAGAATCAGAATAACTATTTTATCTTTTCCTCCTTTGAGCGAATACCATTTACTCAGCCAAAGGAGTAATATTTTCAACATAGAATCAAAAAAGTAGTGGTGCTAAATGTTTTTCGTTTTTATTTTGTGAAAATTGAAAAAAAACCTATAGCATTTTGGATGTAATATTGTTTTTCTTTTCTTTTGAGAACAGGATCTTTTAAAATTTTAGACAACAGAATTATTATGATTCATTTATTCCATATCAATAAAAATTAACATCAAACTCATTTTTGACAATCTTTAAATGACGTCTCAGGAGTTTCTGCTCACCCATCTTCTGATTGTCTTTTTTTAAATAAGAAATTTCAAGAGCCAACAAAAGATTGCTATCTATTGGTATACAGTGCTTAGTCGACCTCACATTAGGTAATTTAGCCATTGCTAAATTTACTTGTCTGTTAGGAACAGACATCTTGCTAGCTCACGGTCACTAATGCATAGGGTTACCAGGTCTGCTTGCAAAAAATAGTGGACAAATGGAAGAGGGAATAGTAAAAAAATACAATTAAATTATATATTTTTTAGAAATCCTTATTCTCTTATATTGTAGAGCTTTAAATTACGTACCATTTTTTCATAAAGCTTTTGAAGGAAAAAAATGTCCACTATTTTATGAGAGAAAACGGTGAACATAATGTAAAAAAATTGACTGCTCGCTCAAATGGTGGACACCAGACAACTGTACTAGTACATGAAGTATGAAGTGTATGTTCGGGAACGGAAGATAGAGTGCATGCTAAAATGAACGGAAAGTATGGGGGAAGAAGAGAAATGGATTTTCCCGCTATTATCTTATATTCCAGAACTAAATAGCAGCATAAAAAATACGTTACCGAGTGAAAAAAACAACAACATTGTACTTAGAAATACTGAAAAATAATGCACTAAAAATGAAACACCGCCGACAGGAGTACTGTGGAATTGTTTCTCCGTTGAACTGTAATTTGTAATATGTGGGACAGACCAAGAGGAAACTGGAAGATAGAATTAATTAGCGCAGAAGAGCCCATTACATCAAAATCCATTTTCAAACACAGGTAGATCTAAACCATCAACTGGAATTCACGATCCAATTACTCTAGCAGTAGAGAGAAGGACAAACACAAAATAATAATGGCAATTTTACAAATTAAAATTTCGCAGGCAATGAATTCAATGATATAATTAAACTCTTAAACTCTTTCACCAATAATAATTACGATATAATTAAATAATTGCGAGATAAAAAAAAATTAAAATCAGATT